CAAGTTTTTAGTATTATATATTTATGCATGTGTGTATGTACTACACATAGTTGTGTGTATTAATATGTACTATGCGGTACCCATGAAATTACTGTAAACATGATATCGTCTTGTATAAGGGTTCCGTTTTTCATTCAGACCTACGGAACTTTAACCCGAGAACCAACATAACATTGTAGTTTTGAAAAAATCATGTTCTCTCCCATACATTCAAACTGCAAATTATTCTTATTAATTTTCCTGTAATTTATAAGTAAAGAACTATTTTCTGTATTTTTTTTCAAAATTCTAGGTTCAGTACTTTCGGAGATAAGGGGAGAATGGTCAATTGTCACTTATTTTCTTAAATAACTTTAAAAGTAATTATTTTAAATTTATATAAAAAATATATTTAAGATCCTTACAACAAACCATTTCATTTGATATGTCACATAGTACAGTTTGCAGATTTTTTTTATATTGGCCCCCATAAAATGACCCCCTTGTTCAAAATTAATTTATTTACGTTATGCGTCTGTGTTCATATGTGTATTAAATTTCAATTTAATCAGTCCAATAGATTCGGAGCAGATTGACAAACAGACCCACAAGGGTTCCGTTTCTCATTTGGACACACGGAACCCTAAAAAGGTAGAATTATGTAGGTATAATGATAATATCCTATTAGCAATAGATACAATTTGCAAAGATGCAATACTCATCTGAAAAAAATTTATCGAACAAAACAAAGTAAGAATAACAAGAACTGCGTGAGAATAGCCACGAAAAATGCTATGCTGGTTCGAGGAACAACGAGAAAAAGGAGAAGGAATACAATTCGAACAAAAAGTGTGTAATTATTGCATGATTAGAGCGGGTTAGTGTGGGAATTAGTAATTATTGGATGGTTAGTTTCGCGCTCGTCCAGCAGCCTCCTCATCATCTGCACTTTTCGGAAATTGTTGGTCTCTTGTATAATACGATGTTCTCCACAAATGGCCTTCTATCATCCATTCTCCTTCTCCATTCTTAAATTACATATAATTAGGAACGATGTCTTAGAGAGTGAAAAAGAAAAACATTTAATGTACTTACGCAGTACAATGATTGTAAATTGTAAAGAATTTCTTAACACACACATTATCTACAATGTAACTGCGCTTTTAATTTTGTTTACGACTTTATCCATACTTGAATATGAATCTTTTCTCAAAAAAATTAAAAAATCGGTAATGTTAAATTTCTATTAAAATTAAAATTAATACAAATTTATGATATCATAAAAATTGCTTATAGACTTTTAGTTCCTATATCAAACTAAGTTTTAACCAATGAAAAGAAAAGCCTTCATACCTTACAAATTAGCGTTATACAGCATTTCCTTTCAAATGGAAGTCAATTATTACTTTACTTATCTCTTCAGGAGTAGTTTACTTCAAAAAATTTCCAACTGTTACCTACAAGAAATGCTCGAATGTAATCTTTTAAATATCGCTAACAACTTATATGAGTTAAAACATCAAATAGTATAGTTTGCTTCCAAACGGTAGGTACATTACTCTATTAGGAGTTTCTTTATTATGACATAATTTCACAAATTCTGTGCAGCTGGACCAACTTAATTTAGAATAACAAGAACCGTGACCTTGGGTTGCGTAGTGAGAAAACACCTCGTCCATTGATTCCGACGTTTGCATCTCTTAAAACCGCTGGTCGTCACTATTCGTGGTTTATCTGCAGCATCATTGTCATTGTTGTAGAGGAACATGATTAGAATCAATAGAATTAAAACTGAGTCGTTGTTTTCCAAACGTACAAGGTAAACGCGATAAGGCTTGCCTACCAATTGTAGAAAAGGCTAGCAATTCTAGGGTGAAAGTTTTTCAATTAAATTTTACAAGAAACCTTCACCACAGTATTGTTTTTTCTTCATTACTGATACTGCTGGGGAAGAATTAGTAGCCGGATCTATATTATCGTCTATTTTGTTAAAAGTTGTTGATATTCATCATCATAAGGTCGTCAGTCCTAAAACTGGTTGGACACGCTCCTTCACTTTTTCCTATCTTGAGCTAATCTTCCCTAAAAGTAGAACAACCCACATCCTTAACTATTTGCGAACAGTAATCTAATCTAGGCTTACCTCTGCCCCTCCCAACTCTCGTTTCTGCCTCTAATATGTCTCCGACTAGACCTTTATGCCCGAGAAGGTGTCCTACTAGCCTATTTCGCCTATTTCTTATTAACTTCCATAGAACCCTCTGTTCTCCTATTCTTTCTATTACCTCTTCATTTCTAACCTTCTCTATCCACGGTATCCTCATCATTCGCCTGTAACACCACATTTCGAACGCTTCTAATCTTTTCTTTTCCGCCGCTCCCACTGTCCATGTTTCGCACCCGTACAGCGCCGCGCTTCAAACATACACCTTTAACAATCTTTTTCGGATTGCTAAATTAACCGTTCGCGAGTATAGAAGTGACTTCTTTTTATTGAAGGCGACTCGACCCTGCGCTATCCTTTGCTTTATATTGTTGATATTAAGTACTATTTATATTTATTGAAGTAATATTCAGTTAGTGTATTTGTTGATCTACAATAATTCAAGTTACACTGCTGCAAATAGGTAATTGCTTTTCGTTAGATTTCGCGAAACGGAGACCTTTCATATCTAAGTTATAGGTACACATTAAATACAACATAAACCTTTTTATTTGTACTTAAGTAAGTTTCAGGACAAAGATAAGGAGTTGTTGAATATATATATTATTTATACGATGGTTACATTGAAATTTCCCTTATCGTGAGTATACTTACGATTTGCCAACGAACCAGTGACAAAAATGCGAATGGAAGAAATAAAAAAAAATTCTTTATGTTAACCAGTTTCTGTATAACGGCATTTTCTCACCACGTGAACTGCTTGCTTTATTTGCTAAGAAATTTTGAAAAAGGTGAACAGCGTACTCGTTGTTTTCGTGGGTAAATTCACTTTTCCGTTATTACAGTTACGCCTGTTTGTTTGGATCGATATCAAAAACCAATAATCAAATATATCTTATGGATTAGATACCTACAACATACAATTGACCGTTATGTACTGCAAAAACATCTTTCACAAGAAATAGTTTAGAGAACCGTTAATACAATAATTATTAGATCAAACTATGAAATTGATACATTTTAGTTACTGTGTTGTAAAATTCAAGTTTGGTTTCACAAAGAATTTTAATTGCATGTTTTTATTTACGCGAACGCCTACGAAAGGAACTTCTTTTGATATTAACTTGTATACTGCAGTGCTACTTTTAATTTATTGAATGTCTTCAAGCAAATAATTTTATTTACACTATTTACTATTACAGTTTAGTGTTAATTTATAAGAAATGGGTGAAAGAGTATTTGATCTATCTTGGCAACAGCAGACTACTTAAAAAATTGTTTAATAGAACGATACTGTTGTCACTCGTTTGTAGTTTTACGACGGTTAGGTACAGTGATGATCAAAGCAAGTCCTAGTCTTGGTATTAACTAACCCGAGAACCAACATAACATTGTAGTTTTGAAAAAATCATGTTCTCTCCCATACATTCAAACTGCAAATTATTCTTATTAATTTTCCTGTAATTTATAAGTAAAGAACTATTTTCTGTATTTTTTTTCAAAATTCTAGGTTCAGTACTTTCGGAGATAAGGGGAGAATGGTCAATTGTCACTTATTTTCTTAAATAACTTTAAAAGTAATTATTTTAAATTTATATAAAAAATATATTTAAGATCCTTACAACAAACCATTTCATTTGATATGTCACATAGTACAGTTTGTAGATTTTTTTTATATTGGCCCCCATAAAATGACCCCCTTGTTCAAAATTAATTTATTTACGTTATGCGTCTGTGTTCATATGTGTACTAAATTTCAATTTAATCAGTCCACTAGATTCGGAGCAGATTGACAAACAGACCCACAAGGGTTCCGTTTTTCATTTGGACACACGGAACCCTAAAAATACAGTGATGATCAAAGCAAGTCCTAGTCTTGGTATTGGCTTAGGTCTTGGTGATTCGGTCTTAATCTTACTCAAATACTTCTACCCTTGGTGTTGGCTTAGGTCTTGCTGATTCGGTCTTAATTTTACTCAAATCTTGATCTTGGTTATTTGATCTGATACGTGTTTTTTAATAATTATTTTAAACACAAATTTTAGTATTTAAGACACCATAATTACCCTAATTGTTGGAATTCTCTGTCACAGATTTAAAGAAAATTGTGTTGATAGCTGTGAAAGTATATAGAAACGCGAAAACTTACCCTTTTTCCAATGTATAACTTGACCTATTAGTCTTTAGCCTTGGTCTTGTTCGTTTGCCCTCCTAATTTTTAATCTTGGTCTTGTTCATTCGGTCTTGGTTTCAGCCGTGGTCTTGTTCATTTGGTCTTGTTCTTGGTCTTACTAGTATAAAGACAGTTTTGGTATTAGTTTTCGTCTCGCATTTTCGCAAGGCCAAGACCAATACTGAAAAATTAAGACTCATCAGTAATAGGATTAGATTTGGTCAAATATTTAAATTCTTGAGATAATATTTAGCCGTTTCAAACAATTTATCGATATGATTGGAGTAAACGGCTAGTGTGAGTTGATAACACTTGAAAACGATAATATGTTTAGATCAAACTCTCGTTTCTGCCTCTAATATGTCTCCGACTAGACCTTTATGCCCGAGAAGGTGTCCTACTAGCCTATTTCGCCTATTTCTTATTAACTTCCATAGAACCCTCTGTTCTCCTATTCTTTCTATTACCTCTTCATTTCTAACCTTCTCTATCCACNACTTGAAAACGATAATATGTTTAGATCAGTGAAGTTTAGATTTAAACTATTTATTCCTTAAAATTGACATTTCTACCAAACTGAATCGATTTTAACTATTAATATTAAGATGCTGGTGAATTATCGATTGATTTATCGCGTTTTTTTACAGCTGTCGTGCTTATTTGGCATTTCTTCAATTGTTTCAGCGCGTCCATCGGGCGAGCATGTGATGTGCCGCGATGCCCACTTTGTCCGCGGCGCCTGAGCTCAGTCCCGCCGGCGGCCGCACCGAGCAGCGGCATAAGGTCATCGCCACCTCCACCGCCACATCGACCATCGCCAGCGTTTCGACGACGGCCCCGTCGGCTTCGTCGTCGTCGGAGATAAGAAACGCCGCCGCCACCGCCACAATGAGCCCAGAACAGGAAGCCAGTCCACCGCCCGCGGCACCTGGTGCATCGCCGTCGCCTCCGCCTTCTACCACCTTGCCTTCGCCTGCCATATCGCAATCACAAGAGGAACAACACGGGGGCGGAAATTCGGACGTGGAGCAATTCTCGGGAAAAATCGTCTACAATCCTGACGGTTCGGCCTACATTATCGAAGATTCCGAAAGCGAGAGCGAGAGCGCTTCCGTTAACGTTCCCGAGGTGGTTCCGCCGCTCCAGGCCGTTTACGTGTCGCGTCTTCTCCGACAGGCCACCAGGCAACCGGCCGAACAACCGGCAGTGCACAGTTACCGAGTGATAGCATTGAGAGACGCACGACCTCCCAGGCCGACATCCGTACCTGTCAAGCCGATCCTGATGTGTTTCGTGTGCAAACTGAGTTTCGGGTTCGCGCGTTCCTTTGCCAACCACGCGCAGTCCGAACACGGTGTCCATCTTCAGGACGCAGAACGCGAGATTTTGTCTGCCGACTGTTCCGCGATCCTCCAGTGCGTCGGTGCTGATAAGAAACCTATCGTTTCGCTATTGGAACCGTTCGGAACGTCGTCCTCGCAACAGGTCTCCGATAATCATATGTGTTCAGTTCCTGTTCCCGTGTCACGTTCCGAACAAATGTCGCCCTCGTCGGAGATAACGCCCGTGTCGTCGCGTAATACGCCGGGGAAGTCCCCGTCGCCGCCCTTCGCTCCGCCGCCCGCGTTTCTCTCCGGAACGACGATAGGAGTCTGTCCGGAACATTTGCAGGGACGACCTTCTGGCGTCGACTGTCCACGATGCGAAATGATATTGGCATCGGGACGGTTAGGACCGGCCGGTTTGGGCAATGTGCACAGCCGGAACTCTTGCAAAACGCTCAAGTGTCCAAAATGCAACTGGCATTACAAATACCAAGAGACACTGGAGATTCATATGAAAGAAAAACACCCTGAGACTGAAACTAGTTGTATTTACTGCATAGCGGGTCAGCCGCATCCCCGATTGGCTCGGGGCGAGACCTACACCTGCGGCTACAAACCGTACCGCTGTGAAGTTTGTAATTATTCCACCACAACCAAAGGTAACCTTAGTATTCATATGCAGTCAGATAAACATTTGAATAACATGCAAGAACTGCAAAACGGGGGTGCGCCCAATACCGAGTCGCGGCAGGCTTCGCCAAAAGCGCCCTCGCTGCACCACTCTCCCGTTAGCAGTGGCCACAAACCTAAACCTAGTTTTCGCTGTGATGTCTGCAACTACGAAACGAACGTTGCACGCAACCTAAGAATACACATGACGTCGGAGAAACATACGCACAATATGTTAGTACTACAACAAAACGTCAAACATATGCAAACGCTATCTGCGATCCACCATCAGCAGCAATCTCAACATATGGAAAACCTTTACGGCATCTATCCCGGTTTGGGGGATAAACCGGAAGCTGCCTTAGCTGATATGGCGTACAATCAAGCGCTGCTGATTCAAATGATGACGGGCGGTCAACTTCCCGGTCACGCGGGACCCGCAGACATGACTTCTCACTCGGACCTCGGTCTAAATCCGGAAACGATGGAACCACCACCGGAACCGGCGGAACTGGATCCTCAGAAAACCTTCCATTGCTGCGTCTGTAACTTATTCAGTACGGACAGTTTGGAGGACCTGGGCAGACATTTGGCCCAGGACCGTACCAGACTTAGAGAACAAGAAATCCTAGCTGTGATCGCCGGTCATTACGTGTGTAAACTTTGCACGTACAAAACCAATCTCAAAGCCAATTTCCAATTACACTGTAAGACTGATAAGCACCTGCAGAGACTGCAACACGTCAACCACGTGAAAGAGGGCGGTCTCCGTAACGAGTGGAAGCTGAAATATGCATCGGCCCCTGGTGGTGTCCAGATCCGGTGCAACGCCTGTGATTATTACACGAATTCCGCGCATAAGTTACAACTCCATTCGGCGGGTAGTCGACACGAGGCGGGGGTCGCGCTTTTGCGATTCCTAGAAGAGCGTAGTTCGCCGTTGCGTCCCGATCAGCCGCGCGTTTTTCACTGCAATCTGTGCGGCTTTTCCGCGGCTAATCGTCTGCCGCTGCTCCAGCACATCAAGTCGCTGAAACACCTTCATTTGGAGCAACTGCACCAGATTCAGAGGCGGGCGGAGGGTAAGGACGCACCCGCTGAAATGTCGGAAGTGTTTCAAGTAGTTCCTGCGCCGTTTGAACAACGGCAACAACGTACTCCCGGTAAGTCAGAAAATTATAATAAAACCGTACGACTTGGAAGCCTTCCTTTTTTTGTTGTTGTCAAGGGTCAAAAATAATAAATAAAAGTAACGTAGGGATGGTATCACGTATCAATGATTACTCTTGTAACTTAAGGATCCCGAAAAACATTGGCAACATTAAAATGTTGTTTTGGTGGTTAAAAATGCCTACAGTTTATTGTTACAATTTAAACTATTAGAATTGAGGCTCCAATTTAAGTGTTCTAAATTTTTTTTTATGTATTTAGGGTCATTTTGGGGATCTAAAAATTACCTTTTACTCAGGGGAGACACAATTTTTACTTTTTTTCGTTTTTAGGTAACAATTGTTTATAAAGAAAAATTTTAAGCGTAGGGGCTGTTACACACCTTAACCTAACCTACCCTACTTAAAAACATAATCTATTCCAATTCATGCTAGGCTAGGTTAAGGTGGGTAACAGTTCCCNACGCCCCTTCCCCTTAAAATTTTTGTTTTCAAAATGAATGTCTTCCCTTATAAATTTGCTTTCTTTTGTATTCAAACGGTCTCTAGGGGATGCAAAATTTTTTAGGGCCGGTTTTGTCTGAAACCCCTTGTTAATTAAATCAATTATTAATTTTATTTTGCTAGCAAAAAGAATATTTAATAATCGACTTTATCAATTGTAGGAAAGTAATCTGTTGCTGCGATTGACTGGAATAATCGATTAGGAAAAAAATCGGTTATCAAACAGAAATCGATTAATCGAAAAATAATCCATTAATCGAAATAATCAAATTACAGAAACAGTCGAGTTTTTATTGTTTATTTGGACTAAGTATAACATAAAAATGAATAGATATTTTTGTAATATAAAAAAGACATGTGTTGTTGCTGTAGTTATGTTGGACTAACCATCAAATCTAACTATTCGACTTAACATGTATTATTTGTAATTAATTGATTATTTATATGATTAATCGATTATTTTAGAAATTGGAAATTATTAATCTATGAATCGATTATTAATAGGCTGGCAACATACTTGCGAGTTTGTAACGCGGCACTAGACGACGCGGCTTTAGCACAATTTGATCGACACGATGACATACTTACATCTACGCCTCGCCGCGATTTTACCTCAGAATTTTGCTTTTGATGCAGTTTTGTTTTATTAAGGCAAAAAATTAAAAAGAAGTTGTTCGGTTCATCCCCCTATATACCATACATTGCAATATTGGGGAGGGTATCATACTCTCTCTGAGGAAATACTCCAAAAAGTTTACTCCATTTACAATACTAGGAACTGTTTGTATTGCTCTGGTCAATCTCGCTTTTGCAGAACTACTTATAACAATCTTTAACAAAATGTAACAAAGTTTAACCAAGAAAAAGAACAAAGAAAACTTGAATAAAGAAGTAATATAACTAAAAACTTTTTGAAATATTGGATTTAAAATACCAACTTGTGACAAAATTCCTTCCGGTGCCAAGATAAATTGATAACATTAACATTATCAACATTAAAATGGATTGTTCGTACGTTGAAATGATTGGTTTTAACTCATTATTAATTAGTTTGGGTATAGTTTGAAATGGTTTTTCTCATTATAATGTCCAAATCCGTTGCGCAGTAAGGTAGTACGCATTCTATTTACACGTAGACAAGGAACTTGATGAGTAGTGGCCCAATGGCGGAGCGGACGATTGCGATTTCTATTCTCTATTAATGATGATCTTTGTAAAACCATTTGGTTCGGATAAGTTATTACTACTATCTTTAGTATTCTTGGCAACACCATATCTTATCTTAATTTAAAAGGTAACAGTGGATATGCCAATGTTTCCAAATTCTATCCATGTTTCTCTCATGCAAACTTTATTGAGCATGCAAAATTATTGAAGATATGGACAATTTTCATTTTGAAGTCCAAATTTAGTACATTTCATAATATGTTAATAAATAAACAAAAAAAGTAAAAAAAAAATAAAAGTTAAATAAAGAAGTATAAACAATTTATTTTTATGTTTGAAAACTAAGCAAAATGATTTTAAATATAATGTATTATCAATGTTAGTAATATGAGCCAACTTACCAAATATATTTATCATTCAAAAACTGAATATCGAAAATTAAATAGATATGTTATTCAATATAGACAACTATAAAAATTGGCATATATAATTAAGCACAATTATATTAAAATATATATAT